AATGTCTAATTATGTTTAGTTTAGCTGGAGCATGCTAAATTCTTATCTCATTTACCTACCCACATGCAGTTACTATTCCCACAAGAGACACTAAAGAGAAATTAGAGCTTTTTGCGAGTACCAGTCTAGAGAGTTTCACTTTACAGAAGTACTTCACAAAAACTCCTTTGTAACCACGATGGAAAAACCTAAGGATTTTTTTCAATCACATCACAGCTCACTGACTGTAAAGTTTTTGTTTTGGTTTCATATTTTTTCCCCTTTTCTTAACGTCTTTCTAGCATTGGCTATGAAGGAGTTCTCACTTTTTATCGCTTTATAAGGAAAAAACAGCACCGTTTATCTTTTGCTTATTTTCTGGAGCCTGCAGGAAGCCTCTGCCATCCTAAAGAAAGTCACACATAATAGAGCAGCTTTAGCCTAGTAAGCCAGTCGTTCCCAATTCATCAGTCAAAGTGTTATGCAAGTGGCCCCCTAAATTGATAAATTCCCACAGTGCCTGTTGACCCAGCTGCCAAGTGCTCATGCAGCAGGTGTTGTTTTCATGACCACCCTGACAGTAATACAAACTGTTTAGCAGTTGCATTGACCTCTTAGCTATTAACATTGATACAGACTTCACTAGGGACTAGTTTTCAAACATGACAGAATTTCTTAAGACTAGAGGTCATGAACAAGTATACCATATAAGAATAAATTTGATATGCTGCTGAGTTTAAATCTTAAAAGCCATGAGTTTTTTCCACATTATTCCCATGTAGTAAATCTGGAGACAAGTAACGAGCTTTTGGCATCTCTCCCAGGACTAAAGGTATACTTTTTAATTTTAGAAGCTGTACCTGAAGAGATGCTATATTTATTCTATGACAAGTAGTAAATTTAGGTTATGACAAGGAGTGAAACAAAATTATTTTTTCTTGACATTTTCCCTTATAAAGGAAAAAACCTCAACAACTATTGCATAAATGTTGGTGATATACTTAAGTATCATTCTAATACCTAAATCTTATGTGCAGGTAATTGAAGCATAACGTTCCATATATTTTGTATCATGATTTCTACAGCAGTGTTTCTTGTTTGAATCTGAACATCCAGGAATTTTGTCTGGCTTTTTTTCCCCTCACTTTAGTAAGGAAGTAGTAATTTTTGATATTGTGTCAAAAGCCTGGTGGAGGAATTGTTTTCTGTTTAGTACCATTGTTTTACTGCTGAGTTGGGCCCTCCATTTGTATTGATTTATGCACATCTGAGTTATAGATAGCACATACAGTAATTAAATCCTTCTATGTGTTTAGTGGAGCTGCAAAGAGATGCACTAAAGAAAGCATGAAGCCCTGAGCCATGCCAGGATGAGTTTTAATCTATTAAAGCATGTTGGACTTTTGTATGCCTCTAAACAGTAGAGGCTGCTTTCTTCTACTAGGTATAGTAAGGCAGCAAAAATTATTTTACACATTGCACAGTCAAGAATTCCCAGCTCACTGCACACATCAGCGAAAGGATCCAGCAAGGCCCCAGCCCCCAGTACAACTTTTCCTCCATGTTCCATACATTTAGAGTTGTTATACAGTTTCATGAAAGCCTGTTTTAACAAGCAAGATATACTGTACTCTACTGTATATATGAACAGCTCTTTAAGATAACTAGAATTGTACAGACCATATAAATAGTCATTATCAGCTACATTTTTGGCTGACTTTCTGCGGACCAAATAGTGCTTACTGTAAGAGTAATCAAGCTGTACCCTTTAGAGTTTTATAGATTGAGGGATACAAGGAAAAAAATTCTCTCCAGCCCAGAGTGTGGCTCCATCTATTTCCCTCCATTTTCCACATCAGGAGACACAGTGAAGCACTGGTTATATAAACAAAACCATGGTCCTGTCTCAGTGCGGGAGAGTCCCAACAGTCAGCTTCAGGACTTAGGTTATCTTTGTGAGATTCACTTCAACTTGTGCTGAGCCCGAACATTTCCACCCCTTCCAAGCCCTAGGAATGCAAAGTGAGCACTGTGGGGCAGAGGCTTTCTCTCCATACGTTGTTGGTCCCTGAGAAAGAAGTGTGGCTTTTCCCAGAGCACAGCTAAGGAAAACCAGCGATTCTCACACGCGACGATTCCGCTGCAGCTGCATTTGTATTCCTCTTCTCCTAAGGCACCCTGCCAACCAGAATTTTTTCCATCTTTGTTTCTACTCCGCCCCACCATTAATAAATATTATCCAAGGCTGATGAGTGCAAGTTCTTGATTGATGGTAGAATAAAAGGCAAGGTTATATTCACAAGTACCGAGAGCAGTAGAAAACTTTAAATCATAAAAAAGTGATCGGCCATGCTCAGCTGGAAACAAAAAAGTGTGACTTCTACCTTCCTAATTGCATACAAAAAGAACCATATATTATAGCACTATCATAGACAAATACTTCATGTCTATTAATAAAATAAATCATTATCTTCCCAAATAAAATACCTTTGTGACTTATAAGGTCATTCTTTGCTAAAGATACGCCACTGGAGCTCTTTTCCAAGAGATGCTCCAGGAGCCTGAGGTTATGCTTCCTGCTAAACACTGTACTGTACTTGTGTTTGAGCAAGGGAAAGAGAAACCTCCCATTTAAAGTAACTTGAAATAAATGAGCTTTAAATAGTGACAGATAAAGAATGTTGCATCCTATGTAGTTTGCTATACAGAAACAATTTCAAATGTAGATTTTTTTTCCAGATGTAGGAATTAGAAGACAGATCTTTTTACTTTAAATCTGAACAAGTCTCCACTGAAAATCATATTATTTTCGAGAACCATTTCCAAAACAGCATTGCATGTGAATATTGCTTATAATTTTTAAGCGTAGAAACTTTCTTAACCAGATCATATGTAATACAGAACTGGAATTCTTTACAGGTCAAAAAAATAATGCATTCTATTTAAAAGACAGCTGTGGAAATATGTAAACAGTAAAACTGAAAGGGTTTCAAATATGCTACACCAAAGGTGTCAAAACATGTTTCAAAGCCCTTAAATAATACAGGACCTTCAATCTGATTCTCAGAAATGCTTTGGAAATCAGGACTTGGTGCTATGCTAAAGAAGCATCTACACATTCTTTCTGTCCTTAACATCTTTGGGGAATCAGTTCTTGTGGATGTTTAAATAATCACGGTAGTAATTAAGACTGAGCAGAGAAAGTGCTATGCTGAAACAAACCAGTGGGCCTGTACTGTATTACTGTTTTAAGGAAAAATGCAAGAAGCCCTGTAGTGGACCATTAACAAGATGCATGTCAAAATGGGAGGGGGAAAAGTAAGCCCAGACAGCTAGTGAGGGACTTAGGTATGAATGCTTATTTTTTAAAAAATTATTTTTTGCCCTATGTAATACTACTTTGAATGGCCCCATTGTGCACAGAAATACCTATTTAAAATCCTAGTAGAACATGAGCTTCAGATACCTTTGATATATTAGTAGCTACAAGTTCAGCTAGTTTATTGTACTTTCTTTAGCTTAATTTTTTCCCTTGATGTTTCTTCTGATGTTGAAAGGGAGATAAACAGGAATGCCAAATTTTTCTCCTCTTTTTCTTCTGTCACCATTTTCTGCATCTCCATCATACCCATTCTTTCTCAGACCCCAAAAACTATCCTTTCCTCTGTACAGGAGTATCAGTCTAGGAATTTAATATGGGACAGAGTAATCAGTGCACAAGCTGCTATTCCATTTATTTGCATAAAATTGGGGTGTTAATACTGATGTCAGTATAATAAACAATGTTCTATTCTATTCTATTCTATTCTATTCTATTCTATTCTATTCTATTCTATTCTACTCTATCTCATAGAATTTTGTTTTGGTTTGTTTGGATTCCAGCTGGACAAAGTTTCTTTAAGCTCTCCACAAAACTATTAAAATCTTTTTCCTGCTCATTTCAAGCTTAGTATGTATGGCAGTAGTTAAGACGATTTCCTTGGGAATGAGTAATTTTGTATTTGTCTCTAATTAACTTAATTTTCCATTATGCTCCTATTCAATTACTTGATTAGATCACTTGGGAGATCCTGACATTCTTTTCCAAACTTGTACCTGTGCAATCAAACCTACAGCAGAGATGAAACATGGTACCTCTACTGGGAACCTGTAGCCTTTGGATGATCCTATCATCCTAACCAAAACATCCAGGGTCAGAAATATTTTAAGTCATCTGAACTAGAATTTCCTTTGTGCATACATTGCACAGAATCACATGATGGTGAATGGCTGAGTTTGGAAGGCACCTCTGTAAGGCACCTGATCCAACCCCCCTGCTCAAACAGAGACTTCCACTGCCAATTTCCCAGGACCATGTCCAGACAACTTCCAAGGATCTCCAATGATGGAGACTCCAACTCTCTGGGCAATCTGTGCTAGTGCTTGGTCACTCTCAGGGTGAAAAAGTATTTTCTGATGTTCAGATGCTTACATAAGCATCCAGAATGCACAATCCAAATATCATTCCATGGAAATATGGAAATTAAAAGCCGGCAGTTTAAAACAGAATTTGTAGACAGAGGAAATACTTCTGCAAAATGATTACATGTCATAATGCGTGATATAAAGCTTGTTCAGGTTATTCTTCTCCCTTTCTTAAGGGAAGTCTAGATCAGCTAGAAATGCAAAAAAACACCATCAGATGCTGCCTGCGATAAGCTGGCAGCTTTATGAAGATAAACCTTCAGCAAGCTGGTTTTGGCAAGTTCATGCTTCAAGAATTCTCAAGGACTATTGCTTAATCTTGTGGAAGATCTCTGAAGGCAGTTACATGAAATAATAGCAAATTGCCCTGTATCTTTCTGTACTGTAACATTTCATCTCTGATCTTACTGCTTCTTCCGAGGAAAAAGAAATCTTGTGATTTCTTCCACTGATAGTACTACAGCAGAGAATCAAGCCTTTAATAAAAAAAAAAAAAAAACAGAACTTTTCTTCTTGATCCCAACTTTTAACTCTTTGCTTTGTGTGGTTTCATTCAGGCCTTTAGTCCCTGAAGAATGCAAAAGAACAGCTCAGCCTGCACAGATACTGACATCTGAATGCTCAAGGCATTGTCGGAACGGGCACTGCACTCCCACAGGAAAATGCTGCTGTAATCAAGGCTGGGAAGGAGAGTTCTGCAGAACAGGTTTGTATACAGATTCATAGCAACAAGTGAAAAAAGCAGTGACATGTCATAATTAGCTTTTAATTATTTGCTCAGAGAAATTTCCAGTATATGTTGACCAATATACTGGCCTTCAGTTCTAAGGCAACATTAGAAAATACTGATTCCATGAGCTGCAGGAAAACAGTAAGTCTTTAGATGAATGCAACTGCTAAAACATCTAATGCATTGTGAGCCAGTGTAGAATGCAATTGATACAATAAACATGACAACAGTATTCTTTCTTTTCCCACAAAGATTTTCAAATGGAAGGAGATGCAGTCTGTGTTTGGACATTCACCTTCCACTTGCAGTATTATCACAGTTAGTATCAAAGAGAGATGGTAAATCAGAACTGCAGGTCTCCATTGCATCTTTTGCACTTCACTAATTTAATGCAGATTTTTTAGTTCTGGTACATTCTTGCTTTTGATCCTTCCAAATGAATTGGCTCCAGTTTGTTAAAGAGAATTCTATGTACAATATATCACAAAACAGCTAATAATCAATGTTATTGTGATCCATTATTACAAAGATTCCATCAAGTCCTATCTAGTTGCCTTAGCTTTTAAAAGTCACTTGGAGAAGGTCAAACTAAGACAAGGGGTGTGCCAGCCAAGGGGTGAGGTGAATGAGCCTGGAGTGCCAGAGCTGTGCCATCACTGTCTCAGAGGCTGTGGTTCTGTCTGAGCTGTGTCATTTTGGCCAGTGCAGATGTTCCAGAGCCAGCCTCGGTACCAGGAGATGTTATTACAAAAGTTTTATTCCTCAGCATCAGCAGAGTCCTCTGACTGGGCATAATTTGGTCAGCAAGTTTGACCAGATTCCTACACAAAGAGATGTTAATATTGTGGCAGTAAAATTCAAAGAAATAGGAAGGACTAAGGGAAAACAAGGATCCCACGATGGATCATGGAAAATTCAGGTTGGAAGGGCACCTAGGAGGGCCCTGGTGAAGCAGGGTCAGCTATGAAGTCCTTTCTGGAGTGTAAATTTCAGCAATCTCCAGGTTTTTAGTGATGAGCGGAGTGACTTTGGAATGAAATGAAATTAATTAATCAGTAATAAAGTATCTTATTGGCAAAGATTCATGAGCTGGCCATCTTAAACCAGCAATAAAGGCAGGTTAGAGAAATGGATGAGGTAATCTGGCCAAATATCCCAACTTTAATTGTCCTTACTTGTCAGAGCCATCCTGCATTTAGAGAATGAGGCCCATTGTACAGCCTTTGTCCAAGTGTAACTTAAAAGTAAAAAATGCCTCCAGCATGAACATAAATGGGTCTTAAATAACCTATTTTGTTTTAAAAATCACAGCTTTATGATAGATGATTTGATGGACAAAATGAGCAAGAAAGCCACAGAAAATATGTAGACTAAGGATCTTCCTTCCCTGCATCCCACACAACAATTAATAGGGATGTTCTAAGTTTAACCTCAATCTACTATTATAGTTTAAATAAGAAAATTTACCTTACGAGGTATGAGTTTCATTTTCATGTAGTTAAGAAACTCTTGGATAAAACCAAGAAAACCTGCATTTCTATAGTGTATTACAAATATCCATAAATCCATATTAAAGTTCATTGCAATAGATAACATTAAGCAGCATAACATCTGCAGAAAAAGAAAGATATATTATATACATTATTTATATCACAGTCCTGTGATTACCCCAGAAGAAAATACTTCCACAACTAAAGTTATTGATTATTAATTTTGCTAACATTGGCTGCAATTTAAAATCGGAGCTGTATTTGAAAAACTGAAGCAAGCTGATTAGCCTAGAACTCTATAGATAAATCATCAGGCATCTGCTAAAAAGAGGGGAAAACTTTGAAACTTACATAACTGATAAAAATAGTTGAAAAACTACCTTGGCTCTTTTTTCTCCAGTGGGAATTCAATTTTGGTCCTAGCATTAAGTGATTCAAGAGCCAAAGGAGTGCATTTGGTGCACTGCTTAGGTGTAGTCTGCTTTGCTAAGGCACATGTGCAGTGCAGAACTCTAAGCATACAAAGAGGTTTGCCTGAGATTCCTAAATGAAACCTGAATATGGGAATTGGACATTCCAAAAAAATCTGTTATTTATCAGTCTTTCCCTGTGACATCCTCACAGATATAAAAAATTACTTCCTCTCCCTAATATTCTAAAACTTTAAAAAATATGCTTTCAACACTCCTAATATTTCATCCTTTCTGTGTTGTTTTTAATTTATATGCTTTATCACGACAAGGTTAGAAAAGCTCTAAATCAACTGTATCTTTTTTTTCTCTTTGTGATGTTCTAAACAAATTAGAAAATCGCTTTTTTTTTTTTTTTTTCACCCACAGCAAAATGTGACCCAGCCTGTCGACATGGAGGTGTGTGTGTAAGGCCCAATAAATGCTTATGTAAAAAAGGCTATCTCGGCCTCCAGTGTGAACAAGTGGATAGAAACATCCGAAGAGTGACAAGGGCAGGTATTCTTGATCAGATCCTAGACATGACATCCTATTTGCTGGATCTAACCAGCTACATTGTATAGTTTCTGGGACTATTTGGAAACTCCACTTTCAACGGGCATTTGTTTTGAATCCTGTCATTTTTGAAAGACTGTTATCCTGCAACAAACACCGGTGATTTGATTTACTTTATTAATTTAAGTGTAATATCCACCAATGTAAAGAAAAATCCCTTGTATGTGTGTAAATATTCCTGCACGTCTCCACAGACGTCCCAATATCCAATATGTGCACACATACACACGCAGCCGCTATCACAAATACGGTCTTGCAGAGAGTGGAATCTTTTTTTAATATTTATTTCTTCATGAGAAATAGTTTACGAAGCAATTCCACTGTAAAACACATTTTCGTCAAAGGACTTTCCTGATGTCTTAATGGATTCTTTGACATCCCAGAAATCTCGTTCCTGTACCTATCTGATTCTAGCAGTGAGAAAGCAGTTTCCAAACATCGCTGTATAAACTGCTGGACTTAATAAAATCCAGTTGTAACAGTTTCTAAGGTAAACTGAACTCCATCATGAGACAATATTTCAGAACTGCTTAATGCATTCCTATCTAGGCAATTCATTGTAAGACTGTAACCTTCACTTTCATCAATGTAACTCTATTACAGAATGTTATTTCTTTATCTAGCATAGATGCAAAAATCTGGTTATCGCAGCTTAATATCAAGATTGTTTCAAGTGTTTAATAATTAAATTATATTCGCATATTTCAAAACCAGTCATCCTAGAAGGTCTGCTTTTTATCATATATTTTATTTAACGATGGGCACTGGGTTCATGTTACATATTTATATTATTTTATTTTTATAATATAGACATCACCTAGATGAGACAGCTTTACCATGTCCTGTAAAATACTAGAGTTACATTTTTCACCAGCTTAATTGGAAAGACTGGGAAAGAGAGAGCAAACACATACACACACATACTTCAATGTGTTGTGGATCTAATCTAGAAATGTACCCTTGTGTCAACTTGTGTTCATTTACACCAGGTGAGAACAAAAGCAAACGCCCACCAACCATAATAAAATGACAGCATGTGTTAAAAGTGTCCCTAACGTGGTTTTCACTGTAGCAGGACAGTGTAAGAGGTGGTGCAGGGGCAGACTCTGCCGATGCCACACTGGGCAGGGCATCCCGGGCTGACAGCTCACTCAAGCGTGTGCTGCCTGTGTACGGTGCCACTTGTGCAAAACCTACAGCAGCTCTTGCCAAATGAATGCTAAATGTTCCTTGGAAAGCCAGCAGAAAACCAAGTCTTTGTAAACGTATCAACAAATGTGGTGGTGTATGTGCTACAGTCAGGTTTTCTAAGGTATTAATTAATTAGATGTACCTGCAGAACTGGTGCCCTCATCTCCAGCTCTACTGGCAGTTTCTTTGTTCACTATTTACCAACTATCAGGTTTCCTTTGCACTACCTGCAAACTACCTACTGCAGCTTCTGCAAAATCTTGCCTCAGAAAAGAAAGCAGAGCAGCCCCAGTGTGCACATCCTGTGGTCCTTAGAAGCAGCTGCTCATGCATCAAAGATTGACAACACTGCAGCCAAACAGATCTAAAAGACTTTCACCATGTTAACTCTCCAGTAGTAAAATCGTCTCTCCAGGGCAGCAACATGCTGCAAATTTTCCCTGGCAGAAATTTGTCAGCGTTCATGTAGTGAGTATCAAATGTGAAATTACAGCATAACCAATACTTGCATTTCTGTGTCTCACACATTCCAGCTCCAAGGAACAGACAATTACATTTGCCTTCCATATATGTTTGCCTGGGTTTCGAGTGACCTCATGCCAAATGGAAATGGGTTGAGAGATCTTGGTTAAGTGCTCAGAGAACAATGGTCTGCATTAAAAAGTGCATGCATAATTTTGCACAATGTAGATTCAACTGACAGTCCATTGAAAGACATCTTGGGATTAAATGAGCATGAAGACCAAATTGCCCTCTCACCCCAGAAAAGGGTGGTCCCTTATAGTCACACGAACACTTCATTGGCTAGGCAGTGTGACCAATCTTAAAATGAACCCTGTGGTAGCATCTGTAGGTTAATAGCAGCTCTTTGTCTCCGCTGCTTTCTGCCTTTAGTCTTTTCCCTGAATTCCATCACAAAAAGTTTTACAATTAAAAAATGTCCTGACAACCATTTTTGTAAATTGACCTTAGCATCTAATCTTTCCTTATTCAACGTGGGTGACAAAAATGTGAACTTCTCATGAATGAGCCAGCTGTCTAAATCTGTCACATAGCACGGTTTTATTACACTCCTCATAACCAGCAAGGCAAGAAAGTCACTGAAGTATTTTAGCAACATTTAAATATCTGACAGAGATAACATCTTTAACACTTTCTTCAATGAAATATATTTAAAAATAAACCCAACTTTAACTCCACTCTGATACGTTATTTTCAACAACCAGCTGGGAACATGTTATAGTTCTTTTCTCACTGCTTAGTGCCTTAAAAAATACAACAAATGGCACCTAAATTGAAGATTCACAATCATATATATATATGCCACAGTCATGCATAGAATAGAAAACAATGAAGTTTTGATCATAACAATAAAACAATTTAGTTTACTAGTGAAATCTGAAAATAAAACTCCAGTAAGAGCTAAGAATTAAATCCAGGCCTCATTCAAATCAACAGCAAAAACTCACATTGACTGTGCTGCACTCAGAAAATCACTTTCAAAATTAAGCAAAATTTAAGCAAAATTCTTCACTTTGTTTTATTAAAAAAAAAAATCTGCTCTGAGTCATTCCATACAAACGTCAAAATTAAGAAATAATCTAAGTGAAGGTTAGAGGGAGAGGGGAGATAGTTTGTGAAATTGTTTTGATTCATTTTTATATCATCTTTTATATTGTGTGAAAGCAGGCATCTGCATTAAGCCCACATATTCATAGGAAGTCCCAGTGGAAAAGAAGTATTCTCATAAAAAAAAAAAAAGAAGAAGAAAAAAAAAAAGACACAAAAAATCCTAGCTGCTTATTTATCAAAAGAAATTATACTATTAAAAAGAGTGAGCAAACCCCAGGCCTAGCCACCCAAGATGCTGATATAAAAAGGGCAACTGCAGTAATTGCCCTGAGAATTGGCATACAAAAAAAAAAAAAAGTGTCTGTAGAAAGCCTGTTGCCAGTTAGGTCATTCTGCAGCCATTCTCACACAACCTCCAAGAGTGTCCCAGAATAAAACTGAGCTTATAAATGAAACTAGATAAATGAGGCAATTAGATAAGGGCCTCCAGAAGGGATTTTATGTATGTGTTCAAGTTGTCTCTGCCTCTGTGTCTCTCTCTCCTAATCTTTTATTCCATTCATTTCTTCCTTTATTCGGAGATACTGCCTCTCTGTTCCCAACACATTGTACATTTCAAGCATTCTTTCAGCCTTTCTGCTGCTAGAACAGCAGGAGAACAAACATACCTGTTGCAAGAAACATGACTCTCCCTGATGCCTGCTAGTGTTAAACCCCTGCTTTATTATTTTGGGACAGAAAACTCATCTTTCTCTTTTTAAATTCTGCTGATCAGAAAGAAGGCATATAACTGGAATATAAGGAGAAACATCTTTACTCCATAGATAAGTAGGGAGACAAAAAGATGTTATGCAAAATCAGCTCCAAATCGTTTCACTCCATTTCAGAAAAACAGTAAACTCATTTTTCTACTGTGCCCAGTAAGAAATACTAACTCAAAGCCTCCCCCTCTGGGAATAAATTTCTTCTGTTAACAGACAGGGACACAGATCCAAACCCTTTTACCCTTTTTACCTTTAAATCCTCACACGTTAATCTATTTCATGCAAACAAAGTGTAAGTTAGCTATAAATAAGAATATAAATTCTGTATCACTGACATGACACCTCTGTGTACCTCCTTCTTTCACTCACTTGTCCACATTTGGTTTTGCAGCTCCTTCTTTTCTAGACCCACAGCAAATATCAACAATCCCTGGTTGCTGCAGGTGCTAATTATTTTTGAAAGTGCCTGACAGATGTGTGCCTGACAGATGTGTGCATCAAAATCTTCCCAGCAGCTGAGGCTTTTATCTGTTGGACATTCCACAGAATTTTATTATTTTACAGTGACTTCTAGTATTGTGTCTTAGCTGGGTATTTACAGTTCAGGAACACCAGCCTCACACAGCTCAGGCACAGACAGACTGAAGCTGGAGAAAAGCAGAAATCACTTCAGTCACTTAGTGCTTATCACAAAGTTACCCATTGCAATCCAGTGAACAGATGCCTTAGCTGAAAACCAGAATGACATCCCTAGCATGATGAAATGCAGCTTTTCAGTACACATTTTCTCTAATTTGGGTTGAGAAACAAGGACCTTTTCCTGTAAAATTATGAAAAATATAGATGCTAATAATATGAACAAGTCATTCCACAGGTGTAAAGTTGCACTATGGCGAAAATGAGTATTCATACATGTAATTCTAATTGCATCCAGGAAATAGGCATTTATAAGATTAGTTCTAAGTGGAAAAAATGTCCAAGGACAGCCTGTTCTGCTAATTTCTCCTTAATCATGTAAATTCTTAAAAGACATTCATGCATTTTAATTTACTATCTTTTAGATTATTTGTGTATCATTTTAATTAGGAATTATACCATTTTAATCTTCTGTCCAACTTAAAAGGTGTCCTGATAAATAAATATTTCCCTAAGTAGTTTCAGGGCAAAATGTTTCAGACACATTGAAAAAAAAATGACTGTTTTGCTGTAAAGTTTGTTGTCAACAACAGAGTATTTCAGTGAAATAAGGCATGTAGTTTTTGGCATATAGGTGTGAAACAGCAGAAGCCACCTGAAAGCTTAGTACAGGATTACTTTAATCTTTGAGGGCTTGACTCCAAGCCCATTGATGTCAACTGATAATCTCCTATTGACTTCATTAGTTATAGGATTAAGTCCTTAAAAGATATCCACTTAGCTGGCAGAAGATCTTAACTTCAGACATCAGTGCACACATGACCTCTCCGTGTCTGCATCTGCAGCATTACACCAATGTCTTGTGGAATGAGTACAGACTCAGCCCTGCAGAAAGCCCTACAGAGCCTTCCAATCCTCTTGGGTTTCCTTATAGGTATTGTCAGAATTTACACAAAATCTGTCTTCTGCCTGATTTCTTGATACTTTTTAAATGTCCAGCAATCAGCTGATGTGAAAGCCGAGTGACTCACCTGCTTCCCTGAGCTCTCAGTACTGAAAAAGTATCATCTAGTGATCATTCTATGTCTATACAGGCATTCACAAACATTTAATATTCTGGCTTATATGCAAATAATGTGTGTCTTTACCTATTGTCCACTGCACACAGGCTTCCAAAAACAAAATTGTCAGACATTCTTGCACAGACAGCAAGCTGCATTACTGGAGAAGAGATTTCTTTCTAAAAACAACTTTCCATCTGTTACGTATTATCAAGAGGGTCCAGTGTATCATATAGTAAAGGTTCTTCTATGGTCTATGAGATTTTCCTATTTATTTTTGTTTTGTGATGAAGTAAAAAAGGAAAAAATATTTTAAGTGAAAAACTGCTTACATTCCCAGGAAATTTCAGAAAAGCAGCATCAGCTAAACCATGTGAATATACACAATGGCTGTGCTCACAGTATTCTTGGAAAGAAGGCAGAGAGAGTTGGCTGGTTTGGAGACAGGTTTTTTGTACTTTTTTTATGTAGGATACATTTTACAGTAGGACAAAAGGGTGTTTTGCATCACAAGGCAGTAACAAACAACCCCATTTTCTGAATGTTCCTAGGAGGAGCTGTAAAAGAAAATGTTCTAGGCAGTCAGAACTGGTGTGCAGAATGAACTTAATTCATATCAAGACATACTGAGACCAGAAACCACCTGGTATTAGGTCACCAGATGTAGCTTGTAGCAGTCTCCATTAGTACCAGAAGCAGTAACCCTACCCTGTGAATTATCCAGAAATGCTATTAGCCATCCCCCACAAAATATACTGCAGAATTAAAACTTCAATTCCCCTTTGAGAACAATTAGATTGTAATGGGAGCCAAGCAGAAAAGGAAATAACAAACTTCTGTCACTTGAGAACATTACTGTAGTGGCAATCCCCTGTTTCACTAGTTTTATTGCATAGTAGCTGTCAGGTATTGTATGTACATTTGAAATGTGGGAAAATAGCTTAGAAAATATCACTCAAACTAGGTTTAAACATCTTCTGTAAACTGAATTATACTACTAAGCATATACAGGCACCGATCTAGCTGGGAGCACACAAGTAATTTTAAGCATATGAGCCTCACTGAAGTCATGTGCTTAACATTATTAATATAATTAAGTGCTTTCTTAGTTTGAGACAAGTCTCTGCAAGTCTATCTACACAGACTCCATATGCTATATGTGCATTTCCTTTTAGGGAGACAGCAGGACTGAAGTTCCCAACAACAGAATTCAGTTGCTGTCTGTCACAAATTCTATATAACCTGAAATAATTGCATCTTTGTGCCTCCACTTCCCATCCAAAAATTAGTGAAATCAATCCTTGTAAAGCGCTTTGAGCTGTTCAAATGAAAAGTGCTATAAAAACTACAAATTATTATTATATTATTGAACACCATGTATGTATACACACTATTATGTAATATATAATATATGTATAATGCATATAAATTCTAACAAATGTATTTGTGTAATATCTGAGAAATGGAACAGTTGTATCTGGAAGTGATAAATACATAGAGTTGGATTTATTGTTAATCTGTGGATTTAATGATTTTTTTAGACAAAAGGATGTTTAAGTGTATAATTGCTTTTTTTAATTTAATATATTTATGTAAATGCATGCCTGAAGTTCTGATTAGATAGTTATTCTGTGTCCCTTAAGCTAATAAAATATATTAAACTTTATCTTACTATATAAGGTACACCTGCTGCTTTAATTTTTTTTGTTTTAATATTTTTTATGACTAAATGCATAATTTAAAGTTCATGAAATTTTAATTTTAATCGGCTCTTTGATCTTTGCAGTAAAAGAAAAACACCAGCATTTTATATATTCGTTGAAATGTACACTAGTTTTATTTATATAAATTCTAAGATGCTTTCATAAAATGTGACTGAACACTGCTATTATTTTTGGAATGGGAAGTTTGGAATGGCGTTTCCTGGGCAGAAAATGAAGGCATCCATATTGAAAAGATACCTGTCCCATGGCAGGCAGTATGTGAGTGGACTTGGGGCTGGAACAAGGGGATTTCATGCACAGGCTTTGGAAGTGCAGGTATCTTGGAGAATTAGTTCAGCAGCAGTGGGAGAAACATTGGGGTCATTTATTTGTTGTTTATTTCATATCTTCAGAGGAGCACATCATCAAATCAATGCATGTTAAATTCAGAGGGACCATCTCCAGTGGTTTAAATGAGGGCCATAAAACATGGATGCAGTGTGGAATTCTTTCCTTTGCTCCCCATCCTAAGTAACAGGTTCTGTTCCATTGAACTCAGCACCTGAGCACACACATGGGAGCAGGGCCAGCTCCACAGATCAACCTCCTGTGTTTTATGATACAAGACAACAATTAATCATTACAACACTTAAATGCAAACTACACTTGCATCTGGGGCAGCAAAAACCAGTTGGGACAGGGAGCACTAAAGTGCCAACCAAGGGCTTCTTCACACACACTAAGTTTACTTTGGTGGTGTGAAATGCTGTTGAATTAGTCTTACACATTTAACTTACCTAAAGCCTTTAGCCTGTCCTGTGTTTATTTCTTAAACTAAAGAATGAAGCATTACCAACTCTACGACATTGATATTATCTCTACGTTTCAAATTGAAGCCAAAATAATCTTGAAATTTTCATGAAACTGTTTTTCCATTTTTCAGCTAGCTATACCATTAGTGATATGGGCTGGTGGCCAGCCAGAGAACTAGGATCCAAGGAAAATTTGAACTTCACCCAAATTTGAGGATATTTGGAAACTGTATTTTACTTCAGCTTTTCAATTAATAAATACAGCAGTTGCAGCAATGTTCTTTTAAACATATTTTCTTGAAAATTTTCTTCATTTGAAGAAGTGCTCAGAACAAGAAAACAGCTGAAAGATGGCAAATAAATAATGAAGAAATCCATGAGGATTGTTTTGATTTTTTTAGTGAGACCTATATGTTCATGTAGAAAGCAAAAAGAATTCTGTGAGTTTTGTACATAATTACAATA